AAAATTGACAAATGGAGAGATTCCGACATATAGATATAACACAAAACTTCATATGTATGAAAGGATCCAGGAACTGCCAAAAAAGAAAACGTATACATGAAAATATAATGTGTGACGAATGAAGCAATGGTGAGAGCAAGTAAGAAAATTTACACAATTTGTGGAAGACATAAAACAACCTGAAGCTGTAGTAAAGTTTATATGGTGGAAGAAAGCTAATCCCAGAAGATGTTTACATAACATCTCCATTTTCCTGAACAGTTTTCTCTGCATCACAAAGCACAGAACGCAATCTTCATATGTGTATATGCTTCTCTTCATCAAACGACCAAACACCAACAGGTCCAACACCGAGAACTGTGGTCATAATAGATCCAATAGAGATGGTTGTGGACCATTGGGCTTTGAGGTAGATGTGCCAGTACCACCTCTACCTCTCCCCCTTCCTCTTCCCATTGCTATTGAAGGTGGTGGTGCAAGTTTCATTGCGGACTGCTCGGTTTTGCTTGAACCGAATATGGAACTGATGTCTGCTGGCTTCTGGTTATTGTATGAACCACTGCTGAAAGATGGCATTCCTTGGCTCTGTTTTGGTACTCCGAAAGAGTTTATTGGATCTTGATTATTTGCAGAGATACCTGGATTCCCTTGCTGGGGTGGTTTTAGCGAAGACAAGGCGTCATTGTTGCTGAATGCCCAGTTGTCATTGTTAGCTATCTGAAAATGGGTGCCGCCTGGTAAATTGTTGCTAAAACTCGATGCAGCACCATTGTTGACACCGGTAGAAGCACCATTTTTGGGACGTGGAGGCCAATTAGCAAACGGATCTAATTCATCGAAACCCGGAGTAAATGATGTTCCCGTGTTTAGTTGTGTCTGATTATCAGTTGCTGGAGCAGTGAGGCTTGAGGATTGCCTTGGAGGCCACTCGATGTCCACTGCAGGGCATGTGGTTGGCGCTGTTGTCTTGTTGGGCAGAGTAGACATGATCGATGGCTGTGACTGATCAGTGGATTTGTTAAATTGATGGTGTGTGTTATGATGAGAAGAAGCAGGATTTCCTACAGCAGAATCTTTGCTCGGGGAACCCCAATCTTCATCCCATGCAGGACTGCTCTTGGCTGCAGAAGCAACCTTCTCAGGTGTTTGGGTCGATGATTGAAACTGGAGTCCATTGGCAACAGAATGCGGTTTCACGTCTGGGACTCCGGAATCGTTCACTGTAACTCCTCTTTTTTCCTCTATTTTCCTGTTACAAGAGAAGAATACAGATCACAATAGAGCCAACAACACTATGTTGTGGTACAGACGTGAAAACACTATTCAGAAGTACTGGCTGAGAACAACAGGCACACCTGAGAATATCCTTGACAAATAACATATATTTGGCAAACTGCTGGACGTTCAGTTGTTGGGCAGTGAGCAGCGGCATCATCAGGGTAAGCACATGTTCTGCTGTGAATTCAACTCCATACTAGAGAACAACAATGAAAAATGTAGATGATAAGATGTAATGCTACCACAGATAGAAACGAGGGAAAGTCAAGACATTCAAACTTCAAACATAAAGGAGAAAATTTGACCTGGATCCTACCTGTTTGAGGATCGCGTTTGCCACAGCAAGGGTACACATTAGGGTGGGTGCAGAACGATCTACGGCAGTACACCGTTGAATTGTTTGCAGAATTTCGATAGCAGCAGGCTTATCAAGCGTTTGCACCAACTCTGCTAAGCAGAGCAAAGCATTTACTCTGACCTGCGCAACAAGTACATTCCAATCAATTATTTCTAATAAGATGGAATCACCTAATTCATTTTATCTTTCTTTCTCAAGCTATTGAAGACACTGGTTTTAAAAGAAACTCGAGCTGAGATAATCTAACAAAGCATAACATACCGCAGCAACTGTAGTTTTGAGAGCCAAGCCATGAACACGAGGCAAAATTGCTTGCCTGACAACCTGCATAAAGAAAGCCGGGAAAAAATGATAATTAAAGGAACTCATCCAGCGTTAATTAACTGACACTACTCTGCACAACCACAGAGCCACACATCAAAAATTGATTCTACTCCTCTGGGGAGAAGAAAAAAATTATTCCAATGAAACATTAAAACAAAGTATTAAGCATCACCTGACCATCGAGTTGCTTAGCAACAGATGTGGATCTTTTGAGAACTTCCTCCTGAATGCGGACATCGTTATCATTGTAGGCCCGCAGAAGCAAAGGGAGGACGTGCGATACAAGATGCTCGCTATCAGTCTAAAAAGTTTGACATAAATGTAAGCCGAGTAAGGATCTCACCCTATAAGTTCTTCAATGCATATTTACAATAGGATCCAGAAACAAACAACAGTCAGTCTAACTTCAACGTGGAAACTTACAACCAAATATGTATCTGACTAGATCTGCCTGTATCAGTTTATGGCAGCACAAAAGACTATTATATCGACCTGATGTGTTTTCAAAGTTAACCATATTTTACACATACATCCTTTATTCCATCCTACTGTGTCTATTCAGAAGAACTTAAGCAGAAACAAACATGTGCAGGGTAAGAAAAAACATTAGTCAGTAATGTATAGAATTGATCAACTTTACCTTGTTAGTAATAAGCTCAGCATGCTTTACAAGCAGCAGTAATGTATCTCCTGAAGCAGTACTCAGAACAGGAACAAGAGCCGGAAGTGTTATCAGTTCAAAATCAGTTCTATCCTGCAAAGGTAAGGTTTCAACTTTCAAGCATTCAGTCAGTGATTTCTAGATAAAACTAGTTTTCCTTATCACTTGAAGTTACCTGGGACTGTGCTATAGTTAGAACCATTGGCAAGATCATTGGTTGCAAAACTAAATTCCTAAGTTCCGCACAAAGAGGTGGAAGCACCTGCATGATAAAACATGATTTGCTTAGTTGTTGCAAGACATATCATTTGAGCATCAAATCTTTTTTTTTTATCAAGACACAGGATAAGTCAGTAAAGTGACTACCTTATACCGTAATACACGGGAATCAAAATCTTTCCACATATCTGATAATGCTTTTAAGAACTCGGACTTCTGCATATTATCTCTTTCCTGAATAATGAGAAAATGTTCCGAAAAGGTTATCAAATGTGGAGATACATTTTCCATCATCTAAGTACAGTCTGTCTAAAACAATTTTTGAAAGCATATAAACGTACAAGCATATGATCAAGGAAGCGGAGAGCACGTAACCTAGCGTCACTTCGGAAAAAATTCGATCCTACAGAGTGAGGGTTCAAGTTAAAGATGTAACTAAGAAGAAAAAGGGAACATTTGTCACAAGAAATAAGGAACCTGATCAAACTTATGCCACTTACCTGTGAAATCTAATGCTGTTGGTCTAAAGGACTCGTTCATTGATAGCATCCTTTGCAAATCAGATACCAAGTCCGAGGGTATAGATGAGAAAGATTCATTTGTTATATAGTTCAACGTGTTCATGTACTGCAAGAAATTTCAAGATAAACATTACCAACCGTGGGAAATCCAAGAATACATTACAATTCTTCTGAATAATTAAAACTACCCTTAAGCCATGAAGCATGAGACACAACGTATCTGACAGCATCTATCTGAATATCAAAACTAACAAGCTCGGGTTCTAGAGTTACCATCTTGACATTATTATTGCAGTCTAACAACGGTTTCCGAGCAACTAGATGATAGGCAAGGCATCCAAAACTAAAAATGTCCGACGAAGCTCCAGCTGAAGGACTTTTGCTGCGCATCAGTTCAGGTGCAGTGTAATTTAAGGATGGCTGGACTGGCAGTATCGAATCCTCGACGTCATATTCCTGCACAGTCATACGCAAGAAATCATCTCACTTGTAGGGTTGAATACATAAGATATACAGCAGTCTAGTAACATTTCGAGTTTCAAACTCACAGAATAGTGGAATGCTTGCATGCTATCCAAATTCCCAGCCTGTGCTGTCGAAATAGCAAAACCAAACCCGGCAAGCTTCCAAGAACCAGCTGAAGTAATAAGAACATTCTGCAGGGAAATTACAAAACATATAAACACAACTTCTAAGACGACACGTATAACCACAAATTTTGGAAAATCAACCTCTGGAGATATGGCTCGATGGATAAGATTTGCGTTATTGTGTAAAAAGTTCAGTGTCTCAGAAATCTGGAGCAGACCATGCTTCACCTCCAACAAGCTCATCTCCTGATTAAATTGTAAAAAACCAATTTAAGAAAATCTAAGGTCAAACTCAAATTGAGTTTTAATCACAGCAACAACATTATATATGTTACCATTGATTTCAGATCTTTCGGCACATTAGCCACATTCTCAACATTCCCAAGCGCATTAGCCACAGAAGCAAAAAGCGGCTCCGTAACTAAAGCCATAGCATTCTTATTCTCATCAAGTGCTTGCACCACATGAACCACACCAGGATGTCTCAACCGCACAAGCTTCCCCGCATCAGCTCGAATCAGATCAAGAAACGCATCTTCAGCTCCCTTAGACAACCCCGCTCGAACACGAGCCTCAGACAAAGCACGCTTATCAAGCATCCAGACACAGACCGTCGGGTACTGCTGTGGCCGCGTGGAATCACGCGCTTTAGCTGCGTATAGCTTCCAAGCTAGACCAGGACCAGCGGAACCGATCTGATCGAGTAGCTCGTAATCCTGAAGAGCTTTAGGTCCCGTAACTTCCTGAACTGTGGTATGAACCGTCTTCTCGATCACAGCTGCGGTTCTAGCTAGAGCTTGAGTAAACGTTTTCATATTTATCGACATTTTCTGCTGGATCGGAAAAATTGCTTCTAAATGTTGTCGGCGACGATTTGAAAACCGGTGATCCGACGAGAGATCTCACAAATCAGAGAAGAGAATGCGTAATTAACCGAGATCGAGGAAGAAGACGATGGCGGAAGAGAAAAGCACAACTCTGGATCGAAGATCGTCTTCTTCCTCCACCTCTCTCTCTCTCTCTGCAACTTGTTTTTTTTTTTTCCTTAACTAACACCTTTTCTTATATTTTTATTTATTTGCCAAATCAGTCCTTGTCCTTGTCTTGAGATGAAAGTAACATAGAATCAGAGTAAGAAATATAGCTCCTCGGCGATTACCAGTAGTCATTACAGGAGCAAGAAGAGTCTTTGAAATGGTGAAACCGATTGGAGTCTCTCATAAGAATCTCTTTTCCCAAAATCTTAGAAGCCAACTTCATGAAGTTATGGCAATCAATACATATCCTTATGTTCTTCATTATTTGTATCAAATTCACACCACAATCACCTAATTTTCTTCCTTCCATCACCGCAAATGCTAACGCCAGTTTCTCGCTGTGATGCGATAGATGTTCTTCCTTCTGTTCGTCCTCCTCAATATGTTGTAAAGCTGACCTCATTTCTGGAACATAACCCATCTCCTTTAACCGACTAATCAGTCTCTCCAATTCTCTGCATATGGCTTCCCTGTCGGGACGGCGTCTTCCTCCTGATGCGAATTCGTGAACCTTGTTTCCTATCTCTGTCCAGCTCAAGCCTGGTTCTTTTCTTACTCTCCATGTTTCCATCTCCTTTATGCTTATATTGCCTTCGTTAAAGCTACTATCTGCATTGTATATGTTTGACATCTGGATGTAACTCAATGAGTTTGTGGGTTCTAGCTCTTTTAGATTCTCTGCCGCTAACTTACCCAACTGAGTGTTACCATGTTTCCTGCATGATCCCAGTAATGTACTCCAAACTACAGCATCTGGCTCCATTGGCATCTGCTTGATAACCTCTTCTGCCTCAGCAAAACGCTCAGCTCTGCCTAGCATATCGATCACACAAGCGTAGTGATTTAGCTGAGGAAGAGTTTCAGGTTTCTCAAACATGGATCTGAATATTCTCAATCCTTCTTCTACTCGTCCAGCGTGGCTGCAAGCCGAGAGAAGAGCTATGAAAGTCGCTGAATCAGGCTTAATGTCCATTTTCTGAAAGACTGGTAGAATTGAGTCTACTTGGCCATGCAATGAGTAAGCCTTGAGCATTGAGTTCCACGACACCACATCCCGCGAATCCATATCGTCAAATACACGCTTACACAAGTCAAGAGAGCCACACTTGGCATACGCATGGATTAACGAGTTGTTCACCACTGTGTCAGTCGCAAAACCACCCTTGATCACTTGAGCGTGTATAGACAAAGCATGGCGGGCAGTGACAAGTCCTGCACAAGCTTTTAGTACACTTGAGAAAGTATACCAGTCAGGGCTTAGCTTCTCGTAACGTAACTGACCAAAGAGAAGAATAGATCTCTCTGGATCATACACTGCAAACGCTGTTATAATCCCAGTCCAAGCAACAATGTCCCTGCAGTGACTCATTTCTATAAAAAGCTTGTAGCAGTCAGTAAAGTCTCCTAACATTTCTGAATAAACTTTAACCAATGCAGTAGCCACTTCAGTCTGAGTTACCAACCCGGATTTAACAGTCAGAGAATGCAGCTGAAGACAACACTTGGAAACCTGATCAGGAACTAAGTCAGAGCTTTTGTACAAGGAAGAACATATATTAAGCACAGTGGCACGATCAAATCCAACTCCATCACTGTGCATCCGCATAAAAACGCCAATGGCCTTTTTCCCAAGATTGCAACACTGAAAAGCTGCAATCATTGAGTTCCAAGTAACCAAATTCTTAAACTCCATGGCCTCAAACACAGTCCAAGCTTCATATGCGGCGGCACCATCATGACACCTACCGTACATAGAGATAAGCGCATTCTCCACATAAATCGAACAATGTAAACCAAGTTTCAAAGCAAGTCCATGTACCTGCTTTCCAGGCTCATATCGACACGAAGTTAACACGCTTGACAACGCAAACTCGTTAGGGCAACAATGGGCTAACATAGCTGAGAAAAGACAGAAACTCTCTTGCTCATTCCCTGCCTGTGCATAGCCTGTGATCAATGCAGTCCACGAAACAACATTCCTCTCAGGCATTTTATCAAACACCTGCCGTGCATATAAGATATTCCCGCATTTGACATACATAGAAATGAGATGGTTAGCCAGGAAAAGGTCCTGACAATAAGAATGAGGATGTGAGAACATGTGGTGGTGCAAGTTGATTCCATCGCGGAGATTGCGTTGATCTGCACATGCTTGGAACAGAGCCGCGTAAGCGTGCTGAGACTGAAGCTCGACAGGCGCACAATAGAACAAGGAAAGAGCTCGACGGAGATCACCAGACCTTACTAACGTACGCAATCCTTCAACAAGTTCGTGTTTCAGTGCAGAAGGTAAAGCAGAAGAGCCAAAGCGCCTCAATGTCCCAAAAGAGATATGAGATAAACTTGTAATCATCGACGCTCCAAATTCATTACCTTGTTTATGAAGACAAATTAAGTAACCAATGTTTCGTCTGAGAGAAACAGCTTTTGTAACTATAACTAATCGAATTTTGTCTACTTTATTCTCTAAATCCTCTGTTTATTGGTGACCTTAAGACAAGTTTTAGACATGGTAGAGGTCAAATAAACCGGTTATTGCTGCTTGACCAATGACCAAGATAGACCTTCTGCAAATAAACCGGGTAATTCTGCTTGACCAAGATAGAGCTTCTGCTATTCGGTTTAGTAACCAACCGGGTAAATCAAAGCTATCGGTTTAATAAGCGGTTTTAGAGCGCAAGTTACTATTTTGTAGTTTGTACAATTTCCATTTATGTGTAAATAAATTTTTTAAAGAAACAAATATTTTTTCAGTATAAATTGAATGTCAGAACAACTTGAACTACCGAAACCCTAAAGCGATAGCGGCGACTGCAAGCTCCACCGACGCAAACTCTTTTCTAGGTCAAACTCATAGTTCTCTTCTTCTCCATAGTTTCGAAACACACTCTGATTTCACCAGAGCGAAATCATGGAAGGGAAAGAAAACTGCAAAGATCTTCTGAAATTGGAGCTCAAGAATCCATCTTCTTCCTCTGCTATGGATTCAGCACTTTTGATGTGTACGGAGAAGAATAAGAAGAAGAAGAGCGAGGCTCCTCCTCCATCGAAGCCAACGATTGCCCCAGTTCCTAAAAGCCAACTTCTTGGTAAACTTAAAGGCTTCTTGGGGGTTATGGCGGAAGCTAACAAAAAGTCTGAGGCAAACCCAGAAGCTTATAATATCGAAGCACTAACGGGTAACGAATCTGAAGTTATCGAGATGGACTTGATGCTCGGTGTCGCTGATCTCAACACACCTGAAGCAGTCAGTGCGGCTGAGGCAGCTATTGCTGGCATTGGTCCGGCAGCTGAAAGTGGAGATTCGAGCAGCGATGAGAGTGATAGCGACAGTGATGGCGAGGAGAATAAGAGTGAAGAATGTAGCAGAAAACGATCAAAGATCATTGAGCTCTCATAAAAAAACATGTCGTCTCTTATCAATTTCTATTTTTTTACTTTGTATGAAACTTTTGCAATGATGATGATGGTTTTGGTCCTTGAGTTCAAGTCACTTGCAAAAGATGGGATAACTATTAATGTTCACAGTGACAATCCATAAAATAAAATAAAAAGAGTTCAATTCTTTAGAGCGTGGAGTATGTGATGGCCTTAACTTAACTCTCTTCGTCAACAAGAAGTGTGGAACCGTCGCATATTCCAACGTCCAGTAATGTTGCAGTCTCGTCATCGAGTGCTGTCGGAAAAGGTGAGCCCTGCCACGAAAATTCAAAATTGCGGTTGATATGATGAAGATAAGCGATACAAAACACTCATATAGTCGAAACGTTTTCTTTCAAGCTAGTGATTATTAGGAAAGATACCTCCTCCTGCAGAAATAACCTTGGCTTGATGGACTTGAGTTTGAAAAAGTTCTCACATAAGATCTTCAGCTTCCCAACCTATTACAAACACCAATCGAAAGCTTCAACAAAAATAGTACACATTTTCACAGTTTAGATATTCTTAACCAAAAAAAAGTAGCAACCGTGATACTGCCCGGCAACTTTTTTGTCAACTCAGGCTTTTCACCCATTGATGGACCAACGCATTTGAGAGCAATGGCTGCACAAGTCATAGCGATATAAAGCAGCTTCTATACAATCAATGAACCATACATAAGAATTAAGAAACGCTTAAAAGAGTCATACATAAAAGTCCAGATGCCATATTCTTAGGGCCGCTGTTCTCAGCTGATGCTCTTTCATCCTCAATTCCGTGAAGTTTCTTGAGTTCATAAAACCTGCAATATCACAAGCAGGGCTAACTTTTTCTTGTATCACTTTCTTCTGGCAGAAACTTGCATTGAAAGAAGAAAACAGGGTTTGAAAACCAATATAGGACTCTTTACTAATTTGTTTGTGAAGATTAGATTAACAAAGGTAAATAGTTTTGCAAAAAATGGACCTAGGGTGGAGCAGCTCAATCTCCTCAGACTTGTCATTTAACTTTGACATCACCATTCGGACATACCTGCGATCATCCAATAAAACTAAGCATAGAACTGACGCTGAACCAAATAACAATATTGATGAGGGGATTGACGATGTACCGGATCTCAGAATCCTTCTTCTCACGAGCTCTTACCTGAAATAGAAAAACCCAATAGATTCAGATATTAAAGAGGAATGAAAGGTAACAGTATGTTGAACATTTTTTCAGGCACTTGTTCTACCTCACTCCCATTCAGCACTTGTACTTTTGTCAACCTTGCAACGAGAACAAATCTTGGGACACCACCTCTTACAGGATCAGATATTGGGTTTTCCGAAAGCCTGATGTCCTATTACTTGAAGAGGGAAGGTCAATTAAAGTACGTATTTAAAGGTCTACCTGGCTTTCATAATGAACATCTAAAAATTGCAGGAAACGTTGGGAATGCCAGTAAGTTCTATAAAAAGTGTCATTACTGATCTACTAGAGTATTACTGAACAAAAGATCAATACCACTAACTGAGGAAACACATTCAGTGCGTCTATCGAGGCCAAATCGCCAATGCTGTTGGCTCCTGAGAAATACAATGGATGGAATAAATGGCTGAAAATCAAGAGAGGGGACACTACACTTGAAGAGAATACCTAGAAGAAGACAACGCAAACTTGGAAACGGGTCACTGCTTTTCTTTGGTGATTCATTGCCATTTACAGAGTGAAAGATGTGTGTCAGCTTATTCTTGTTCAGGTAAAGCTGCTCCAAGCTGAGAAATAACGATTAGATGGATCAATTTTAATAAGTATCAACAGTGCAATGTATATTTACGGGTACATCAACTATGAGTAAAAGGGAAAATATTTATTACTGACCATGGAAGTTGAGATAGCTTTAATACTTCACTCCAATCAGAAATGCAATTATCATCCAAGTTTAGAAGTCGCAGAGAGTTAAATGCTTGACCATCTGAGGAAGATGTAGACTGCAAGAACCAACCAGGGGGTAAATAAGGCGACAGGAAAAAAAAAAAAGGAGTTCAAAATTTAAACACCCAAATTTTCAAAGAAAAAAAGTGTTGGGATGAGTGTAATTCAAGTATCGTCCTCAAAGAGACAAAACCGTTTTCCAAGCATTTTCAGACTATATCCTACTTGGGGCAACAGAGTAACCATTGAAACTACAAAATAAAACATTACTGTTAAGGCAGATATCATGTTCCCCATTAGATGCAACTCCTCAAGTCCAGGTAACGAGCGCCTAAGAGTTTCAACCTGCTCCATGATGGTAAGAGCCATAAAAGTCAAAAACTGCGATGGTGCTCAATTAGTTCCATGAGAAATAAGTAAAAGGTCAGGTAAAGAGTCACATATCACCTGTGTCCAGCTCAGACCACTATTATTCAGAACCAAAACACGGATATTTTTTAACTGAGGCAGAGAGGTGATATCACTTGACAAAGAATTGCAAGACAAATTAAGGGTAGTAAGGGCTGGTAACTGCTCACAAAGAGCACCAATTTCCTGGAAGCCAAAAACATTAGATCATCAATCATAAACTCTAAAACATTAGTTGACGATGGATGAAATCAAACAGACAAGCAGTAAACGACTGATACCTCCCAGTCAGAAATCAAGTTTCCAGTTAAGTCCAGTAGCTTCAAATCTGTAACAAAGGAAGCAAATGAAGCAAGTAACGTTACAAATACGTTCATTTAAAGGTACTGAGGCAAGAGCCGAGTCAGAGCTGAAAGTTAGATCAAATCTTACTTGGTAGAATTGAACCCAAGTCAGATGAAACTCCAAGAGAACTAACACCAAGATACGAAAGAGAAGCACTCGTAAGCTCCTCGAACCGACTTAACTTATCCTGGATCTTATCCCCTCCTAATAGCTGAATCGAAACACGTCTATTCCCAGCAGAAAGAACATACATTTCATCTAACAAAAACAAAGAAGTAGATTCATTATTTCAAATTCCAAAAACCTCACTTCAACAAAACCACAATTATCTTAATCTCTACCAAATCCCTAATTTCATAACTGAAACTAAACTATAACATTCTCTTGAGACCTTCTTCGTCCTTAGTTGAAGTTGTTCTGTATCTAAGCTCCAAAGCTTGAAGCAATGTGATACCATGACTAAGATTCTGGGAACGAACAAATGAAGCTGAGCTCTGAGAACGACCGTTAAAGTAGAAAACGCCATTGACGGTACCGTTATGCTTTCCATCGCCGTCTTGATCCCAATCAACGCCGATCCAAGTTCCGGAGTATCCCTCCACATCTCCGACGTACTTCACTGTACCCACCCGACGCGAATCGTTGAGCGAGTGGACTCTCTGACCGATTTCAAACGAATCGTTGCTTGACTCAGCCTTCATTTCGCAAATACGTCTGAAACAACCGTGAAAACAAATTTGTCGATTTGAGAAATCCGCCGGAAAAATCAAAAATGACGTCAGATTAACGTCATAAGTAGGCCGAAACTTAATGGGTTTATGATACAGATGGGCTGATTCAAGCCCATATGGAAAAGAAGTCAAACGATTCTCACGCCGACAGAGGTCAAAGGAACTTAAAGTGGAAACTTTTGTTTTTGGCTTTGTTCGGACGAAAGGAGTGTACTTAAACTTTGGATTAAACTAATAATTAAGACTTTTTTGTTTTTGTTTTTGATGATAATAAGACTCTTAAGTCCTCAAAATAGGAATCCAGCTGCAACACACCATTAGTACAAAAATCCTCTCGAATTAGGAATCCAGCTTGCAATTCACCACTAATTCACATTCACGCACGCACGTATATCTCTTTCTCTCGATGTTCATCTTTAGGAAGCCCAATGAACATCTTCCATCGTTGATAAGTGAGAACCACACTTTCTTATCTTTAATTTAGTATTTACTTACAAAAATATTTTGAAATAGAGTTTTAAATCTCCAAAACCTGAATTTGAGTATGACATTATATTTTCATATACACTTTAGTATTTTATTTATTTATATTTATTAATTTCATAAATTTGGTTCTTCTAAATTTCAAAATCCACTTTAGTTTTTGATACAACCAAATATATGAAATTTATTTATAAATTTAATAAACAAAAATGTAAAGGTATATGTTAATTAATGAATCAAAGCATACATCATTGAATCATCTAAGGAGTAGAAAATTTGAGGTTCGATTCATTGTTTTCCTCAACACATAAGACCCATTTTTAGTGCTTACACTCAGTAAAAAAACAAACAACAAAAGGGAAAGAAGAATAACCCATCAAATTTGAATTGTTTTTTTCGTCTCATTGTTTCGTTGAGTTATTTACAAGTATGAACTATAAACTAGATCTTTTATCAAATCAGAAATATAAGACAAATGAAGTCGGTGGTCTAAAGAAACTTTTGTTTTCTCCTGCTTCTAACTTTCTAAACTCGTAATCAAATGACACATGTTTCAACAGCATTAGCTTCTGTTTTTTTGTTATTCAAATTCCTCTGTTTCTGTCTCCTTTCAAGTTAACTTTATATCTGCTGTCTTTTGGGACAGAGAAAATAAAACGTTTATCCTTTCCAAAGCAAGACTTCTTCTCTCCTACACTCTTGTAAAGCAGATATTAACACCCTTTCGCTCTACTTTACACACAAGAAACAAAATTTATGTGTTCAAACGTTAAATTAAACATGTATACATTTTCTTCCCGGAACTACAAAGAAATCTAACATTTTTATTAGCGCATAGGTTTATATATGCCAAAAGCCAAATGGTTGCAATGATTATTCAAGAAAACGTTAGACAATAAGCGAACGCTAGACAAATATATCCTTTTGATTCTAAATACTAAGCTTTATGAGGTAAAAAATCACAAATAATTGATTCAAACACAATCCAACTAGACAATTTTATCAAATTCTTGATCACAATAGAACACAACATAAAGGTAACCATAAAATCAACTCAAATTATGTCAAACAATATATGCTGATTTTGATAACCATGTATTATATTTATGAAGTCGAAACTAGTTCAATGTATTTCAAACTGAAAAATTACACAGAAACTAAAACAAAAACAAACAAAAGTTTATTTGATTAACGACTCTGTAAAACGGTCTAGATAGTCCAAGACCGTCTAACTTTCCTTGATAACAAATGCAATTGTTATTTATGAAATAAAAGATGATTGTAAAATATATGAATTTAGGCATACCACCTACCATTCCTACATCTAATTGGAAGACAAAGTTATATTTAGTCTGAATTTTGGTATAGAAGATTTATCAGCTAAAAACAAAACATTACCACATATGTTTTTGTAGTCGAATTGACCTAGGAAAAGGAAGAGTATTATGACCCAGTGAGCTTTGACATTTGTTTTAGGATGAATCCACTTTTTGCACCAACTCTTAGCATCACAAAGTTATGGAAATGGATCACAAAAGGGTCCCATAGATGATGCAAGAAAACCGCGTCTACTATAGCAAATCCAATTTCTTAAAACAAAAACCTTAAGATTCTGCCTCCTTGCTAAAAATTCTCATTAGTTTAATCATATTACTATTTGAGTGAATCTACAGTGCCATTGATACTAAATAGATAACACTTGTTAAACCCACAAAGGCCCATAACAATTTTGAAGTTTCCTCGAAGCTAACTTTAAAGGCTTTGAGATTTTAAAACGAGTACACAGGAGTTTATCTGCTGTTAAGATACTAATCCACACCTATAAATAAGTACAGACAGTTTTAAACATTCCAACATCAGAATCCAAACAGACAAAATACAAAGAACAACAAACAACAAACACTCTTGAGCAAAAACTTACTTTTGTGTGTCTTTGTGTTCATGGCTGGTCTTAGGAATTCCAGTAACAGCGACAAAGCGCAAAACGATGGGAAAGGTGTACCATCTGCCTACAGAGGAGTCCGGAAGAGAAAATGGGGGAAATGGGTGTCTGAAATCCGTGAACCGGGGACAAAGAACCGTATCTGGCTAGGCAGTTTCGAGACTCCTGAAATGGCTGCAACCGCCTATGACGTGGCAGCATTCCATTTCAGGGGGCGAGAAGCTCGTCTCAACTTCCCTGAGCTCGCCAGCAGCCTTCCACGTCCTGCAGACTCTAGCTCAGACAGCATTCGCATGGCAGCTCAGGAGGCAACACTCTGCCGCACAACCGAAGGATCAGAGTCAGCCATGCAAGTGGACAGCTCAAGCTCCTCCACTGTAGTTCCAACAATGGTCAGACTCTCGCCCACGGAAATTCAAGCGATCAACGAGTCAACTTTGGGATCTCCAACTACATTGATGCATTCAACATACGACTCTATGGCGTTTGCTAATGATATGGAGATGAATGCTTGGGAAACATACCAGAGTGACTTTCTTTGGGACCCTTAACTCCAAAACCGAACTCATGGAGAGTTTCTACAGCTCAATCTTACAATACCAGCATAAGTTACTGGCCTAGAATGCTTAATTTATTTAAGTTTAGTTTTCAGAGTCTAGCACAAGGGTTGTTGATTCTGACGTTATAGCAAAGAATAAAGTTCATCTGAGTTTTGGAGGGAAGAACACTATGAGCTTGATGGGTCCCTGAAAAGGACCTTTTCACAAATATTTTAAATTTTTTGTAACATAGCTTCTATTTAATAAGCTGTGTTAGAGATTGTGAGGTGTGACTTATAATTATTATTTTCAATTGTTTGTTACCCCATGCTTATGTAATTGGTTTGATATTATATTGTATGGATTCCTCAAATCTATAAGATATTTTTATTCTAAACTAGACTTGTGTTCTCTCTTGACTCTCTTCCCTTAACGCAGCATTGACTAATCGTAAGAAAAATCTACATTTGATACTGCAAGATTTTTAGAAGTTAAACAAGTTCAATCTAATTAATTTCTGGAACCAAATTCAGTATATACAGTACTACTAATGCAAGTTCTTAGAAACAAGAGAACAGAATATACTTTTCAGAAATCTTCGAGCAACTTACTTGGTGGCTTTGAGAAAAATCAAAGATGATGTCTGAATCTGCAGTCAGGTTTGTAGGGATGACGAGGAACTCATGACCTCAAGTCTTTGCGCCTCTTCAACACGACCAAACCGATTGAGAAGTTCAATGACCAGTGAATAATGCTCTTCTGATGGATGCAAATTGTACATCCGGAGCATCAAGTTGAAGAAGCGATAAGCTTCATCAGCTAATCCTGCTTGACTGCAAATTGATAAAACTGCTGTAAATGTGAAGGTGTTGGGAGTAAACCCTCTTGATACCATTTGCTCAAAACAGTTTATTGCATCCCTGAAGCGTCCATTGTAGCCATAAGCCTCTATAATGGCGGTCCATGTCAGAGAGCCCTTGACAACAACAGCATCAAAAGAGAAATTAGCACTTCTGAGATCTCCACATTGTCCATACATCTTGATGATTTTTGCAGAAACAAATGGGATAGACTCAAATTCCTTTTTCAGAATGTGCCCATGAAGCTCCTTCCCCAGCTTTAATGCTTTGAGGTCACTGCAAACAGTCAAAACCCTACCCATTGTAACAGAATCTGGCCTGTGCTTTGATAACAGCATTGATCTGAATACCTCAATCCCTGCTCTTAAATCACCATTCTCCACATAGCAGTCGATCATGGCGGTCCATGCTTTCACATTTCTTTGCTCCAACCTGTCAAACAGTCTCACAGGATACTCTGGAACACCGCACTTTGAGTACATCACCATCAAGGAAGTGACTAGGGATACATTTGGCAAGAATAGATTCTTTAAAGCATAACAATGAATCTCCTTTCCTTGCTTTATAGCCCTCAGCTCTGCACAAACAGGAAGAACAGTAGCAATTGTAACGACATCTGGCTTAAAGCCTTCCTGCTGCATCCATACAATCGACCTCAAAGCTTGATCAAATCTTCCATTGGCTGCGTACCCAGACATCAGTGCAGTCCAAGAAATGGCATTCCTCTGTTTTGAGCCATAAAACACCCGTCTTCCAGAAATCATATCCCCACACTTGCAGTATAAATCAATCAAACCAGAGTGAACAAACGGCTGTTCCAAATAATTCTTCATTTTCAATACATGGGCATGGACCTCCTTTCCCAGTTTCAGTGCCTTAACATCCCCAAGTACAGGAAGAATCGTTGTAAGTATAACTGAATTTGGATATATTCCTTCTTCACTAATCATCGTCCTAAACAACCCCAATGCTTCCCACTGCCTTTTATTATGAGCCAATCCAGAAATCATCGCTCCCCAAACAACTATATCTCTCTCTACAATCTCATCAAAAACTCGACGTGCAAGCCCAACTTTACCACACTTGAAATACATATCAACAAGAGAGGTCTTAAGAAAGACACTGTTAAGCAAACCATTCTTAATCGCAAGGGCATGCGTCTTCAACCCCTGTCTCAAAGCAGATGCACCAGCAAAGCTCTTAAACACATTAGAGAAACTATAAACATTCAAATCAACACCAAGCTCTCTCATTTCTGTAAACGTAGAAAGTACATCTTGATACCGCTTCTTCCCTGATATCACAGTCCCTCTAAGCAACGCATTCCAAGAATAAACATTTGAGCTAGTACTTTCGTCGAACACCTTCTGTGCATCTTTAACCGAACCACAAGCAGTATACATATGAACAAGCTTGGTCCTAATAAACTCATTACTCTCCAACCCATTAATACGGATATGAACATGGACTTGCTTACCGTGAAGTAACGACTTCCGGCGAACACACGCGGCTAAAAGAGCGGAGAAAGTCGTCGCATTTACAGGAATTCCTCTCTGTTCGAGATAATCAAGAATCGTGAGAGCGTCTTCGAGATTGTTTTTCCTCGCAAACCTTTGAATGTCTCTGTGAATACTGTGTGGATTTTTGGAATGAAGCGGAAGAGAAGAAGGAAAAGCATCTCTTTCCCTAAAAGGTTTGGGCTTTTTGGCGGGAGAAGTAGAAGGTCGTCTAGTTCTGCTGGGTCTAAACGGAGATTTCGCCGGAGGTCCGTCTTTATAGGAACGGTAAGGACGGTGGTTGAGGCTCGTCGTCACGGAAAGGGACGGGAGGTCTCGGAATCCGAGAGACGAAACTACTTCCATTGTAACACTAACCACTTGATTAAGCTAAAGGTCGTTAGTAATTTATAGCACTAAACTTATTTTAAAAGTTTGCATTTTGAAATTGGAAGCTAATCTTTGGGTCAAGCGAATTGAACTATGGGCTTAAGGCCCCAAAACTTTTGAGCCCATAAGTTTATAAAATTAGAACCCCAAAAACAATTGTATTGCACATATAAACATCAATTTTCTGAAACTTTTAACATTCGGTTTCATTTTTTTAAAACTATTTAGAATTTATTAGCTTTTATTATTTTGGTGTTGGTTCAATTAATCTTCCTCGTTTAAATCAACGTTAACTGGGACAAATTCCAAAAAACCTTTCATATTTTCTTCTCTTGAAATATTATGTAAAATAAAATAATGGACTCTTCGTTTCCCCGACAATACTGTATAAATAAACATCATGTCTCTACTTGTTCACATATCAACTCTTCGTTTATCCGAACTCTACCTCTCTCTTTAGAAACTCTAGCTAGTCTCTTCGAGCTTAATCTTGACGACGATGGCGCCGGCTCGGATCAACTCTCCACCTGAACCTAAATCATCCGAAGAAGAGCTCAGCGACTCCCAAGTTTCCTTTTCATCGGAAGACGATGAAAACACCAATGGAGGTACGTACATGTCGAAGAGTACTGCACTCTCTTCTTTTTATTTCAGATTTTCACCATTTCCCATTTTTACTTTAAAGAAGTTGGAGCGGATAAGAAATACTTTGCATGTCCATGTTCTGTGATAGTGAGGTTTTAAAATTGCTACGTTGAATCTTGAATTGTTTTTTCCAATGTTGTTATGTGTGACAGAAACTGAGGCTAATGGTACAAAAGATGAGTTTTGGGTTCGGTATCCTTCTTTGAAGAGGTATTTAAGCAAGGAGATAGTCAAAGAGTCTGTTCCCGAAAAGTATGTTTTGGAGAAAGCCAAGCTTATTGGAGATGATAAGGCCAAAGAGTTGAATGATAAGTGTGATGTTTTGTTTATCAAGGAGATGGAGCATCTCATCAACAAATTTCGCTTCATGGCTGATGTTTTGGAGTTGTTGTTTCTCTGAGAACTTTTGGTGGTGGTGGCTTTGAGTTTGATTTAAATAATTGTATTCCATCTCTATGATTTTAAAAGATTCATGGAGGATTTGAATTTTTCTCTTCTTTGTTTTTTGGATTATTATAAATTTCTTTAATCTCTTTATTCATGATATATTAAAATAATTGTTCGAAAACTATTTTTTTTCTAAAAATATAGGGTTAAATTAAATGTTTGCTTCGCTTCTCCCTTCATGTGGATTTGAGAACGGAGGAGCAAGAACTACTGATAAAAAAATTAAAAATTATGAAAAACCAATTCAATTTTTTATCCACCAACACATATTTTTCATTAATTTTTCAATCTATTTTTTCTTATTCTGCTATACGTTGTGTAGTCTTATATTTTCGAAAAAATATAAAATATCATTTCCAAGGAAAATCATCAATAAATAAGAAAGAGGATTGAAGTATCCTTTAGTATTGAATATTGATTGTTGGAGTATACTTGATAGCCACAGTATCCACATGTCATCGATAATCATGGGACTAAATACGAATTTCTGTCCACAAATTCCAAAAGAAATTCAAAATTGAACTCTTAATCAATGACCCAAATGAGCCACAAAAACGAAGACATCAAGAAACGACGATGAGCTTCACTGCTTCTCTCATCTCTTCTTTGACGTCTCCCTCACTCGTCTCGCTCAACCATCTTCCTCCTTCCTTCTTCCTCCAAACCAAACTTGTCAAGCCAACAAGCCTTACTCATTCACAGCTTCCTGGATTGTCCGCATCCTATGGTCCGGCTGCAAAAGCTGCGACAGCCAACGACGTTGTTCCCGAAACAGCTCCGAGAGCGGCATCAGAGGTCGTCTCCAGCTTCTATGCCGCCATTAACGTCCATGATTTATCCTCTGTCACAGACCTCATCGCTCAAGACTGCGTCTACGAGGATCTCGTCTTCTCATCTCCTTTTGTTGGCCGAAAGGTGAAACGATTATTCTGATGGACCAATGTCTCCTTCTTTTCACTCTTTGTTGTGTCTCAGAGCCTAATCTTGATAAAGCCATGACAGGCAATTCTAGATTTCTTCGGTAAATTCATTGAATCAACAAGTACGGATCTGCAATTCGTGATAGATGACATTTCAACAGAGGACTCTTCAGCTGTTGGAGTTTCATGGCATTTAGGTTAGTTTCCAAACTCTTTCAACAGACTGAAAAACAGACTCTTTATGATTGTTCTAATGATAACTCGTAAACTGGAGATTTCGACAGAATGGAAGGGAAAGAATTTCCCATTTAGCAAAGGTTGCAGCTTTTACCGGTTAGAGGTGATTGATGGGAAGAGACAGATCATGTAAGCACACTTTTCTCTACACAACTTTGCTGCTGCTGTTACTACAGGTAGACTAACAGAGATGCCAATTTGTCTTGCCGGGCTAAAACATTTCTTCTTGGTATTTGTCTGCAGATATGGAAGGGACTGCGTCGAGCCTGCAATCAAACCTGGAGAAACAGTTCTGGTAACATGAGCTACTTATTAATTTTGATTGTGTGGATGCATTTGAAATTGTAGAGGTAATGCAAATTTAATATCTTTTGCATTTGTGTATTCAGGCTGCTATAAAAGGAGTTACCTGGCTGCTGCAGAAATTTCCTCAACTGGCTGACCAATTCTGATGTAACTATAACGGTCTTGCTTGATGACGTGAATCAGCTCACAAATATAGGTTTTCTTTATGGTATATAGGAAAAATACTTCGGCAGCAATCCCCCACCATTGTCCAATTTGTGTTAATGTATATACTAGAAATTGTCATATGTATCCAACTGGTTTTCGGTCTGATACTATGCAGCCATATATAGAATATGTGCTATTAACTAAATAAAGCCCCAGTTGATCATCCTCAGATCAGATAAGAAAGATGATAAGATCGACAAGGGTCACCTTCATCCTATTTCTTGAAGAAGTTCTTCATCTGAAATTTGCTTCTCATTGATGGCATAACCAGTACTGTCTTTCATCAGCTGATTCAGTCCATCTAACAGAGGATAAGTATCAGATGCTTGAGGGTTTGATGATGTGTCCCCCACCGAAAACAGTGAAAACCCAGAATCTGTATTGATCCAAGCACACCCAGGATCTTTTTTCACACCCAAGTCCCTCATGATAGTCCTCACTTCAGCAAGCTTGCTCCAAGAACCAGCAGCTGCATACATATTTGCAATCAATACATAGTATCCCGGGTTCTCTGGCTTCATCTCCAGGAGCTTTTCTGCTGCCCATTTACCTATCTCTGTGTTCCCATGGATGTGACAAGCGTTCAGTAGAGTAGCCCATGTGGCACCAGATGATTCATATGGCATTCTGTGAATTATGTCTTTGGCTTTCGCTAGGAAACCCGCTCTGCCATAGAGATCAACCATACAAGAAAAGTGTTGAAGACAAGGCTGTATACCATACTCACACTGCATCTCCATAAATAGCCTTTCGCCTTCATGGACTAACTTGGAATGACTGCAGGCTGATAGAACTGCAACCATGGTTACATGGTCAGGTTTAATACCAGATCTTATCATCTTGTCGAACAGGGCCAAGGCAACTCGCCCTTCACCCTGATTTCCGTATCCATCTATCAAGGAAGTGTATGTTACTTCGTCTCTTTCACTCATCAAATTAGATACTTGCTTTGCAGCTACAATTTTTCCCGATTTTGCATAAACATCGACAAGGGAGTTCCACAGCATTGTATAGTCCTTGAAGCACTTGCGCCTCAGGATGTAGCAATGAAACTCTTTTCCATGTTGCAGGTTTGCAATCCGGGCACAAAGAGGGAGAATGCTTGCAAGTGTAATGAAATTTGGCTGAAAGCCAGCAAGCAACATCTCCCTCAGCAGGTACGAGGCTTCTTCTGATTTGTTCACTTGCGCATAACCGGAAATAATAGAGTTCCAAGTACACAAACTATTTTCCTCAGTCTGTTGAAACACTGTAAAGGCGTTACTAAGGTCATTGCATTTTGAGTACATTGTGATCAACGTGTTTCGAACATTGTCAATCCCATCGTAAGAACTGTGAATAGCAAGACCGTGAATCTCTTTTCCCAATCGTATTGCTCCTATGAGTGAGCAAGCCTTCAAACCAATAATCATAGCCACAGGATCTAAACTCGTGGGGAAATTTCTCATCCTAGAGATCAAACCCAAAGCTCCTACATAGTTTCCTGTATGCAAATAACCTCCAGAAATAATATTCCAAGTTATGACACTGAATTCAACACCTGAGAACCTCATTTTATCAAAAAGCACAAACGCTTCACTCCACATGCCTACCGAGGCATAACAGTTTATAACTGCATTCCATGAAACAGCATCCCTTTCAGACATTCGATCAAACAACCTCCGAGCAATACCCACATTTCCAAACCTTTTATACATAGAGATCAATGCATTGCAAACATACAAGCTGCACTTGTAAGAGCTAACCTCGATGGAACCATGAACCACCCTTCCAGAGGCAACGTCAAGTGTTTCACCACAGGCCTTGAGAACAGACGGATAAGTGAAGGCATCGGGTCGAATTCCCTTGCTCACCATTCTCTTGTAAGCAGCAACAACCTCCTCAAAAAGCTCGTTCTTGGCATACGAAGCAATGAGCACATTCCAAGGCAAGGGATGCAAAATATCTGAGTTCTCATTAATCGATTGAGCTTCACTGTGGAGATTAAAAGCAGAGTAAAAAGTAACCAGCTTTGGGACTAAAGCAGAGTGATACTCCACACCCGACGAAATACAGTGAGCGTGAACTTGCAGCCCCGGCACAAATGCACGAACATCAACACACGCGGATAAAAGGGAAGCCGCGCTATGCAAAACAACGTCACCTGAAACTGCAGAAGAAGAAGAAGATTGAAGACGAAGAAGAGAAAACGTTTTGAAAGCGTCGTGCAAATGACCGTGGCTGGCCAAATGTCCAAGAGATTTAAAAAGACTCTCAATCAGCATTGATTCATTGTGGGTTTTGGTAGTTCTTGGGACGGTAATGGGTGGATTTCGGAATTAGGCTACAAGGTGAGAAAACTTCATTGAAGCATATCATCGAACATTTGGTGTGTTCATCATCAACCATACTATATACACACTTAAACCCCAAGAGCAGATAGTATATCCATCGCAGAATCTATATATGAGAATGAATGAAACAGAGGTAAGAGATAGATATTGGAACAAACAAAGCAAAGTGGAAGAATGCGCGCGAAAAAACGCAACGAGACTCTGAAGAAGAAGAAGACGCCTTGTCGGCTACTGAAGTTATGAGCCTTTCTTCTAAGGCCCATCATGGCAAAATAAAGGCCCATATAAAAAAATTGTGGCTACCATCGTTCTTCTTCTTCTTCGTTATCCACTAGTCTCTCTCCTTTGTGTGGTGAAATGCATTTCCCTCCATTCTCTTTGGCTCTCTCTCACACTCGTCCATGGCGACCACCGCATCTTCGTCTCTCCCTCGTAATTACTCCTTCACACCTCCTCGTCCTCCTCCATCTTCAATCCGCGGACCTGGAACGCTGCCGCTTTATCTCCGCAGCAACCGACGGTTAGCTTTAACTTACCGATTGGACCAGAATTCGAAGCGGAGAAGTGGTGGCGGAAACGTAAGATGCGAGGCGACGGAGGTATCTTCTTCTTCTTCGTCTGTATCCACACCTGGAAGGAATTGGGTGCCGGTTGTGCCGTTATCGGCGCTTCCGAAAGGTGAACGGCGAGTGGTTATTCAAGACGATGAGACGATATTGTTGCTTTGGTATAAGAACGATGTGTTTGCTATTGAGAATCGTTCTCCTGCTGAAGGAGCTTATAGCGAAGGACTTCTCAACGCTAGGCTCACTCAGGTCTTTTACTTTTATAATTTCGAGCATAGAAGGTGTTTGTGAAAATGCTTGACCTAGTAGAGTGATAGGTTTAGGAAACAAAGATAAGCTTGAGTTGCTTCATCACATTCTATGAATTACATGTTCACTGTATTTTTTGGTTATGGTTTGCAACTGTTGCTATAATAGTACATAGTTTTTGCTCGAAGTAGTCTTGGTTTCTCTAATGGTAAGTGGTCTCTTGTTTGGCTATTACATCAGGATGGTTGCATTGTGTGTCCATCGACGGATAGTACGTTTGATCTTAGAACTGGAGAGATCCGGGAATGGTACCCGAAAAACCCGGTTCTCAGAGTCTTGACACCTGCACTGAGGAAACTATTTGTGTACCCTGTCAAATATGATGAGGAGAACATCTATATCAGCATTAGAGACAGTGGGAAAACAGAGGCAGCTGCTGAGATTGTCTTCAGTGGAAAAGCTCAGCCTGGGCTCACAGCAACAAACGTCAATGTAGATGAGGTAAAACAAAAAGATATACGACAAATGTAAATGTGTTTCATCTGGGAAGACAAAAAACTGAAAGAGTGATATAATTAATTTTTGAATCACAGGTGAGAATGATTGTGGATGAGGGGTCTGAAGGATTTGGTTTCACGGTGAAGAACGAAGTGATAAACGGGAAGGCGGCAGTGATAGGATTCTTGCTGCTGTTAGATTTTGAGCTATTGACAGGTAAAGGTCTATTGAAGGGAACAGGTTTCTTGGACTTCCTTTACTCTGCTTCAGATGCTTTCAAGTAGAGATAATATCATTGTTGGTCTGCTTTTGCTTGCCTCGTTTGTGCAGTTTGCCGAGAAACAAAAAAAAAATACTTCAGTAACGACTCACACCATGTCTTAGTATATAGAGATGGCTTTGCTCTGTCTTTGTTTGTGTTTACCTCTTATACGAGATATTCTTTCTTCTCCGTGAGTTCAATTTATAACCTTCTATCTGTTTTGTTTGACATACAACACTTCAATTTCATTGGATGAAACAAAAATTCTTTTCTAAAATTTTCCTTAACAATACTGGCCACTTTAGTCTTCATTTCTCCTTATGATAGGTTTTCATTTAGCTATGCAATTCTTTTTTTTCAACTAAATGGTTTTTATTTTCACATTGGCTTTTCATAATTTCTTTTTATTTAAAAATAAATTGAATTTACTTAAGTTTATGAGAATATGTAAAATCTAAAACTCAATACTTTTCAAAAGAAATAATAATAGCTTTCTAAGTAATAAATCTCAATGTGATCGAACTGTTTACCAAACCTTCGTTATAATGTTTTCTGAATTAAAAGAAGAAAGGAAGGTTTTTGTAGATAAGATGGTGAAGGAGAGAGTTCATTGCATTCAAATTGGGTTGCTCAAAAGTGAGTAATTTACGTGTGCGGAATCTTAGTTAGTTTTGTGTTAAATTTGTGTACCATTCAAAAATAAAAGGTAAAAAAAAGAGACCACAAATCCCAACTCCCTTATTCGTCGTTTTCAGTGTGCAAAAGAAGACAAGACAAAAGATAACTTTTCTGTCTTTTCGTCAAACATAGAAGACCAAGAAAAGCACAGCACCCGTTTAAAGACTATTTTGAAGACGTCATGCCTGATGGAAAATGTAACCAAACAAAAGAAGAGAGAGAGGCAAGTCTCATGTTTTCTTTTCAAGTTTCAGCACGTGATGTCGTGATGAAACTGTTGTGTACTTGTGTGTGTTTTTTATTTTTCTTTTCTATCAGACTTTGAATCAAGTCGTAATGATATAAGCCAAAATCACGATCGATTCTGATTATATAGCAAATTTTAAAAAAGTTTTATGATGAAATTTGCACCAATTTGTTTTTTAACAAGTTTAATTTTGTTTGAGATATTTCTTAAACTACAAGGCTTTTGTAGCTATTAGCTAAAGGCTTGACTGGTTTAAACGCAGCGGTTGCGGTTGCGGTTGTGGGAGTTTGCGGAAGCGGACGGTTGCGGTTTCAAGCGTTATTTAGCGTTTTGACCGACTGGTTTAGCGGTTGAAAACGGGTGCGTTTGCGGAAGATTTACGACTGGTTGATCAGCGGGTACGATAACGGTTAAATCAAAGTTTACCAAAATAAATTTAATATATGATTATAAAAAATTATAAAACACCAGAAACTATAATTATGAAAAGTATTAAAATTTTTAAACATGATTAATGATTAAAAACCATAAATAATTATTGAAATAAATTTTTATATTGAAAACAAAAATAATTATTAATATTAGAAAATTAAAGTTAGATAATTTTTTTATATAATTAACGTGAATATAAATAAGACATGATAATATATATTTTAATTTATTTATTTTCTTTTTTAAGTTTCTTTCCTTTTTTAAACTAACCGCAACCGCCCGCAACCGCAAACGCTTGCGGGAAGGAGCTTTTGAAATCCAGCGATTTCGAGCGGTTCGAAGCGGTGTGGAGCGGTTTCTGTGATTGGTATCAACCGCTAACAACCGCAACCGACCGCTAACAACCGCTAGGCGGGTGCTAGCGGGAGAACCAATCAAGCCCTTAAACCATTTTGGCTTTTTGTTCAATACTTGACATAAAAAGGAGAAAAATTAAAGTAATATAATTTGTAGACAACAATATTTTGATGTACTAGATCTGCAGCTAAATCAACAATTAATCACGCAATATGTCTACAATGATCCATATTATCCAGTATCCATCGCTTTTATTACGTTGAAAATTCATTTGTTTATCCAAATTAATGGGTATTTAGTTGATGTAAACCTCAACAAGCTGAAACTTGAAACACGACTCGAATCTTCCAAAGAACCCAAAAGCTAAAACTAAAATAGAAAACGTCAACCAGTGCGAGCCACATGTCCATATCTCATATTCCCCTGGTCATACTTTGACCATATATATATTATTAGTTTTTTCCTCTTGAACCAATTATTATATATCTTTATATACATTCATAATTTCATATAGTGTTTATTCGATATCCGACTCTATACAACTTTATTCTGCTATCAACATATTTATATGCAACAGTTTCTCTCAAGATCATACAATCTCATCTTCATCCACCCAAAAAAATGAACTCAAGAGACGCCGGAGAAACTGATCAAAGCAAGTACAAAGGTATCCGTCGTCGGAAATGGGGAAAATGGGTATCAGAGATTCGTGTTCCGGGAACTCGTCAACGTCTTTGGTTAGGCTCTTTCTCCACCGCCGAAGGCGCTGCCGTAGCCCACGACGTCGCTTTTTACTGCTTGCACCGACCATCTTCCCTCGACGATGAAGCTTTTAACTTCCCTCATTTGCTCCCAACCTCCCTCCCCTCCAACACATCTCCTAAGTCCATCCAAAAAGCAGCTTCCGACGCTGGCATGGCCGTCGACGCCGGATTCAACCTAAACAACGACTCTGCTGTGTCTAGGAGTGGTGGTTGTGAAGATAGATCTTCCATGGCGAATATGGAAGAGGACAACGAACTTAGTATTTCCGTGTACGATTATTTGGAAGACGATCTTGTTTGATCTATACGAGTACGTTTTTAGCAGTTAATTTAGCATGTGCAAAAGGTTAGGATCTGTTTACTTTTTTCCTTCTACTTTTTTTGTTACACTTCTGATTTTTTTTCCCCACGTGAGCTCTCATTTCTCAGGCTTCTTTACTCATTAAGAAAAAAAAAAATTACCCAAATAGCTCAGGGATGATTTGAGGTATCATAAAAAGCTAATGCGGTTAAAAATTTTCCAAAGTCACTCGTACACTTATACACATATGGGAACAAATCACGACCAAGTCATGATTATGGACGGATATTACATAGACTTCATCGTACTTATGATATGTTGACACCACAGAAAAGATTGTCGGGCTTTACAAATAAAAAAGGGCCCATTTTGTGAAATCAACGAGACCCAATTATGAACGGAAGAAAAACAAATCAGTTAGTGAAAGTGAAAGGTCGTTGACCCATTTGAATCTTGATTCTAGAAGAAAAAGGGACCATTGAGTGGTACGCACGTTCTAGTTTTCTATGACAACAAACTCACAGAAACGTGAGAGAGACAACAAAAAATGAAAGTTTTTGGTCGCCGACCATATCACCAACACCAGAGTAGAGAGATAGATAGATAAAGAAAATCTGCAAAACTTCAAGTATTTTTCCATTAAGTAGGAGTTTGAGTGGTGGTTTGTTTGTAATGGGTTGTATTTGTGCCACCGCCCGTTCACCAAGCGCCGCCGTTACCGATAAAGATCTATTAGATTCCAGCAAATCCATCCTTCAACTTATCCCTCACCATCCTCCGTCGTCTTCGTCTTCATCCAAAAAGGAAGGAACTTTCACACGTACGACTTCTTCAGCTTCCATCACCATTGTGGCTAATGGTTATCCTGTGGCGCGCCGTCCCTCCACGTCATCTGATCGAAACAGCATCAAACCGGTGGTTGTTGTGGGGGCTCCGACTAGGAACCCTACCAGAAGAGTCACCGCTATACCGGTTGCGCAGCCAACGCAGCAGCAGCCAGGACGTGTGATCAGCAATAAACCGGAACTCACCGGCGCAGAATGGCCGTCTTGGTTGGCTTCTGTTGCCGGAGAAGCCATTAAAGGATGGGTTCCTCGCTGCGCAGAGTCCTTTGAGAAGTTAGACAAAGTTAGTTGATCTTCTCTGTTTTCTTTCGACGATAGAAAACATCCTCCATTTGTGACCTTAAACAGTCATGATCTGTGATCCTCCAAAATTTTTGAAATAACAATTTATGTTGTGTGTATTGTTATAGATTGGACAGGGGACTTACAGCAGCGTATACAAAGCTAGAGACCTTGAAACGGGGAAGATTGTGGCGATGAAGAAAGTTCGGTTTGTGAACATGGATCCAGAGAGTGTCCGGTTTATGGCCAGGGAGATTCTCATTCTTCGTAAGCTTGATCACCCCAATGTTATGAAGCTAGAAGGTCTAGTTACCTCTAGACTCTCAGGTAGCCTCTACCTAGTCTTTGAGTACATGGAACACGATCTCGCAGGTCTAGCCGCAACTCCTGGAATCAAATTCTCTGAACCTCAGGTATTATATATTCTGTTTACCTATACACTTGAAAGATTGGAAAATTCAAGTTAGAAAAGAGTCTTACTTCGTTTTCAGATCAAGTGCTATATGCAGCAATTGTTCCGTGGGCTTGAACATTGCCACAGACGAGGAATTCTTCACCGTGATATTAAGGGATCAAATCTCTTGATCAATAATGAAGGTGTCTTGAAGATTGGTGATTTTGGATTGGCGAATTTTTACCGGGGTGATCAAGATCTGCAGCTGACCAGTCGTGTTGTAACCTTATGGTACAGAGCACCTGAGCTGTTGCTCGGTGCCACTGAGTATGGACCAGCTATAGACCTGTGGAGCGCCGGCTGCATTCTCACTGAGCTCTTCGCCGGAAAGCCTATTATGCCAGGACGTACAGAAGTAATAGAACTCTCATACCTTACTAGTTTCTTCTGAACATTTTTTTAGCATTGGCTTTATAATCTGAAACGCTATCTACTCAGATTCTGATTCTCAGAGCCCTATTTTTCATAGAACACAGCTGCTGAGATAATTATCCTTTTTTTGCTTCTCAGGTGGAGCAGATGCACAAGATCTTTAAGCTTTGTGGTTCACCCTCGGAAGATTACTGGAGAAGAGCAACACTGCCACTAGCAACAAGCTTTAAACCGAGTCATCCTTACAAGCCTGTTCTTGCTGAAACCTTTAACCACTTCCCACAATCAGCTCTGATGCTCATCAATAAGCTACTGGCAATAGAACCTGAAAAACGGGGATCGGCTGCTTCTACCTTGAGGAGCGAAGTAATATATCGATACTAACCAGAAATCCATGTTTCTTAAACAAGTTATTAGATGCATTCTGATGATCGGTTTAAAACTTTCTTCTCTTCAGTTCTTCACCACGGAGCCACTCCCTGCTAATCCATCAAACTTACCTAGATACCCACCAAGCAAGGAACTTGATGCTAAGCTTCGCAACGAAGAAGCAAGAAAGTAAAGCTACATACATCTTCATTCACTAGTCCTTCTCTTGTGGGGGTTTTCTAATAAAAGTTTTGTTTGCAGACAAAGGACAGAAGGTAATAAGAGAAGAGGGGGAGAAACTGTGACAAGAGGACGGCCAAAGGATCTCAAAACAGCCCAGACACCTGAGTTCATGGCCGCAGGGCAGTCCAAAGTCACATGCATCAGCCATAAGTTCAAAACAGACGAGGAAGGTGGCACCGGGTTTAGGATTGAACCACCAAGAAGAGGGATCCAGCAGAATGGTAAAGCTCATGCTTCTTCAATGGTTCACCCAACTGTGGCTGATACAGAGTGGAACAGAGGTGGAAGCATCAGAAGACAAACTAATGCAGAGCTGAAGTCTAGGATAATATCTCAAACAGGAGACTTGTCTGGTGAATCTTATAGGAGAGATTCCAACAGAGATTACTCAACTGTAAGCCTCTTTTTTTCCCCTCTCTAGTTATATTGTGTACCTTAAACCTTTGGTATGTAATTATTCGAGTTGTTTTGGGCTGTGTCAGGGCAATGCACCAAGGAAAAACAGAATCAATTACTCAGGACCATTGATGCCTCCTGGTGGAAATCTTGAAGATTTGCTTAAAGAGCATGAGAAGCAGATCCAACAAGCTGTCCGCAAAGCCCGTGTGGAAAAGTCTGCATCAAGGAAAAACCAAGCTTTAACAGGACAACAACAGCAGCAACGATACACAGGAAGAAATGCTCGGTAGCTAAATGAAAAAAAGAAGGAACAAGAAGCCATAGAACTCATAAGCGTTTTTGTTGTTGTTGTGCCTCTTCTGTGCTTGAAGCCAGGGATTGATACAATGTATAGTCGATTTGTTTCTTAGGCCAACAAGATTTATTTGAGTACACTATAATGTCAAGCTACCTTTTGTACATACACAAGGTCTCTCTATTGAGTTGAGTCAAACAAACAAACAAACTAAAAAAAACTCCAAATTTGCTGAAAAATCTATGATTCTGGCTCAGCTCCAAGTCCCATTAGCTGAACAAATCTCATACCACATAATCCGTGCAACAATTCCACATATCAAAGCAAAAAAAAACTCGACGAAAAAAGGGAAAAAAAAAAAGGTGAATTCTTGAGAAATTAGAAAACCTTTTGCATAAACTTGAAAAGATCAGAATCAGATAATGAGTTCTTCAAACCAGAAAACTTCACCGATCATATCCCCAAAACCAAACCATATCCCTAAATTGGGGACTCATTTTGTCAGAACTCAGAACTACAATCTATTTTCCTGTAATTAACGGGTATGGAATCAAAGACCCGACAATATACGGGTATTCGGGTTAAATTTGAATAATTCGGGTAAATATATTGTTTTCTTAGGATTAACTAGAAACAAAGAGAGTAATATATTATGAGTGGTCAAAGTTGTGTAATGTGGTAGATGAGCTGATATAATATTCGTTAATTTTTTTTTTCTTACAGTATTATCATTATTTTCTTGCAAAGGTTTGAATTCAAATCTCTTAGGATATTTTATTTATTTTTCATTTCAGAAATACAAAATAGTTTTATATATAATTAAAAAAAAACATAGAGTACAAAAAAATTTCAATGCCTAACTACGGAATGTTGTTGACAAAAAATAAACATTGTAATAATTCACAGAATGTCAAAATCAAACATATTTGGTCATACTTCTGTATTTTAATATTGATGATATTCTTACACACACAAAAAAAAAATAACTTGTGTAATAGATTTAATAATGTTATAGTCTATGTAATTTTATGGAACTTTGGTAATAAGCTGTGTAATTTTATGAATTTTTTCTCAGTTTAATTTGTTAAACGATTTTGTAGAGTTTTTGTGATTTTTCTTCACAAAAACACACGCACACACAAAAAAAAAAGGCTTATTGAATTGTGGGAAAGCTGGAACATCGGGACGAGTAAGGCTAGAAATGTTGGTAAAGAAGAAAAGATCTGAAAGAAAATAAAATAGGAAGAGACCAGAGTCGTTGGATTTCGCAAGTGACTTTTAACTTATGGGATTAACCGCAGACTCGTTCAAAAGACCATCCTCACTTTCCTAGGATCCAAGTAATCAAAATTCACTTTCACCCTAATTACCTCTCTATTTAAACAACACCACTTTTTTCAATCCTCACTAAAACAAGTAATTACCCTTCTCTTTTTTTTCTTCCTTTTTTTTTTTGTTTTCTTCTCTATACATATTGTATTAAAAGAAAAATACACTTTCCTGTATTTTTAATTTTTTTTTGTGAGTATTAAAGAAAACACAAGACAAGAATGACATACCACGTACCTCCTCCAGCGGTAACTATATGCTTTGTCTTTCTTTCTTATGGCAAGAGTGTAGAATTTGGTCCGACTTGTCCTTTTCTCTAAGTAGATTACATCACATGAATAATATTCATAGTTTCATCAATGAGACTCTTAACATTTTATCATATTCTTTCCTGTGAAGCAAAATGTAATGTTTAGCGCTGTTAGTGCTTTTTAGCATTGTACATTATAGAACATCTTTATATTAATCATGCCAAAAATCTTGATCAGAATGATGAGGAGAACAAAGGAAGATCAACAGACAACAACAATCACCGTCAAATGGATTACAACGATTGGTTACCAGTCACAGCGTCTAGAGAGGCCAAATGGTATTACTCCGCCTTCCATAATGTCACGGCCATGGTTGGTGCCGGAGTTCTTGGTCTCCCTTTCGCCATGTCACAACTTGGCTGGTATGTTCTCAAGAAATGTTTTAATTTAATTTGTCTGATCTTCTTCACAAAATAAAGTCGTTAACAAGAAATTTGTTACTAACAGGGGACCTGGACTTGTTGCGATAATAATGTCATGGGCTATAACGTTCTACTCGTTGTGGCAAATGGTGGAGTTGCATGAAGCCGTTCCCGGGAAACGGTTGGACCGTTACCCCGAGCTAGGCCAAGAAGCGTTCGGACCAAAACTAGGTTACTGGATCGTCATGCCGCAACAGCTTATGGTCCAAATCGCTTCCGACATAGTCTACAACGTGACAGGAGGCAAATCGCTTAAGAAATTCGTCGAGCTTCTCTTTCCGAATCTCGAACATATCCGTCAGACTTATTACATCCTCGGGTTCGCGGCGCTCCAGCTTGTCCTCTCTCAATCTCCTGATTTCAACTCGATCAAGATCGTCTCTCTCCTCGCCGCCCTCATGTCTTTCCTGTATTGTCACCAAACCCTAAAACCCAAAACAAACAAAACATTCTTCTTTTTGTTTTCTGAATATTTATAAGGAAACTTAATTAAACTTGTTGCAGTTACTCAATGATAGCTTCGGTAGCGTCAATAGCGAAAGGAACGCATCACCGTCCTTCACATTATGGAGTCAGGGGAGACACAGTGGCCTCAATGGTCTTTGATGCATTTAACGGCATTGGAACCATAGCGTTTGCGTTTGCAGGACACAGTGTGGTTCTTGAGATCCAAGCTACTATTCCTTCAACACCTGAAGTTCCTTCCAAGAAACCAATGTGGAAAGGAGTTGTCGTAGCTTACATAATCGTCATCATTTGTTACCTTTTTGTGGCTATCTCCGGTTTTTGGGCTTTTGGTGATCTTGTTGAGGATGATGTTCTCATTTCCTTAGAGAGACCAGCTTGGCTTATAGCTGCTGCTAATTTCATGGTCTTTATCCATGTCATTGGAAGTTATCAGGTGTCTAGTTTTTTCCTTATCTTTTGTTCCCTTAGGAAAATGTTTCTTCAAAACTTTGATTACAATGATCATCTTGACAGGTTTTTGCGATGATCGTTTTTGACACAATCGAGTCGTATCTTGTGAAAACACTGAAATTCGCTCCTTCAACAACACTGCGTCTAGTCGCACGTAGTACATATGTTGGTTAGTTTCTCATTTAGCTTCTCTTTTACAATTTTTTTTTCTTGGAGAAATGGAAACTGAGATAATTCTTGGTTTGTGCAGCATTGATATGTCTTGTAGCAGTTTGTATCCCCTTTTTCGGAGGTCTTTTAGGGTTCTTCGGTGGTCTTGTCTTCTCATCAACCTCGTACTTCGTAAGTTACTCTACGAAAAGAATGAACATAAATCTAGTTCTTTGCAAACATTATATATTATAAGATGGATGATAATGATACCTCTTTAATTTGCAGTTGCCTTGCATTATATGGATGGTCATGAAGCGACCAAAAAGATATAGCGTCCATTGGTGGTGCTCAATTGTTAGTCTTTCTTTCTTAATTCAAATAGGCTCATTCACAAGCTAATTATCTCAATAACACTTTAATCCGTTTTCTTAACTACAGATATCAATAGTCACTGGAATCTTGATAGCAATTCTTGCGCCCATTGGAGGAATGAGACACATTATTCTTTCAGCAAGAACTTACAAGCTCTTCTCATAGGCTTTAAATAAAAAGCCTTGAAACCAAACATCACAACAAACTTATAAAAGTTTTTTAACTTAAATTAGCCGTCTAGTTGGGGAATATATATAGTTAGTTATTTGATTATTTGGCTTCTCGTTTTCTTTTTATTACCCGTACATCAAGAACTGCCTTCCGAATTGCGGTGAAGGCTTTATGCGCTTGGCCTCAGGCTGCGACGGATGATGTTCTCTCAAACACTTTCATGTAAAATCACCTAAAAAGGAATACCATACAATATCTGGTCAACCTCAGGCTCTGAACTTGTAGGTTTTTGGTTTTTAGCTTTTTTATTTATTTATTAAGTCTAGAGTTTCCACTGCAGGTAAAAAAAGCCTAAACGGCTGTATCAGAACTTTTTGTTTTGGATTGTAATAAAACATCTGAATAATGAGATTGGCTTTTCCGTTTTCCCGCTGTTGAGTTTGTTTTTAAATGCATATCGACGAAAAAATAAACATCTAATGGAGTTTCCTAGAAAAACATTTTACAATGTAAAAATATATATATAGATTATTGACTATACTCTTGTTTTTATTAGAGTAAAAAAATAGTGTTGTAAATTGTAACTGTTATATTACTCTTTAACCTTAATTGGGCCCTATAAGCTGATATGACACCACAACCTTTATTAATTAGCAAATTACTATTGTTAGTATCGACGATTCAATGTGAGTCACACCAATAATCAAACTACCACAGGGACAAAGCTCAAAAGAAAAATTAAATCATTTTGTCTCTTTGTCCCCTGAAGACTACAAAAACCCTTTCTCTGCAGTAAAAACTGTAACTTACATCACTTGAGCAACGAGAATTAGCACAATCTCTCTGCATTCCAATGACGACTAGTCTCCCATTTCCGATGACCCCCAAACTCTTACTCTCTAGCTTCGTGTCTCTCGTCGTAATCACTCTCTTCTTCATCACCAGAACAAGTTTCTCACCGTCTTCTTTATTTCAGCCTCAGAACAACACTCTCCGGATCTCCACTTCCTCCACCGGAAGTAAATTACAGAGCTCAAAATCCGCAAGTTGTAGTAAGATCCCTCCTTCGCTCGCCGATGCTCTCGTCCACTATGCCGCCTCCAATGTCACTCCCCAGCAAACACTCTCCGAAATCTCCGTCACCAAGAAGGTAACAAAGTACACTATTTTATTATCAAAAAAAAAAAAAAAACTATTTACATGCAATTTTATTTATTTGTAAACTTCAGATTGTTAATTGATCTAAATCAAGAACTCAAAATTCTGAAAAAAATGAAATATGATTAGCAAAATTAAATCAGTTTAATTGAATCTAGTCTAATCTTTTATACTAATTAATGTTACTTACCGTGACATAACTATCAAATTTAGTAGTCCGGTAGTGAATGTAAATTTTAGACGTACGTCACAAAAAACTAAGCAAATGACCGTAGTTAATTTGCTCATTTTTTGACTAGTGAAATTGTTATTGTGTGTGTTACTCCCTCCGTTTAAAATTAATTGTCGTTTAAAGTTTTTTCACGCGTATTAAAAAACCATTCAATTTTTCTGTTTTACCTCTAATTAAGGTATTATTTTATTTGATATCGTTAATAAATAAGCTTAAAAAATAAGGGTAAAATTGAAAAATTTGTCAAATATCTGCATTGAAAATAGAAAACGACAACGAATTTTAAACAAAATTTAACTTCTAGAACGACAACTAATTTTAAACGGAGGGAGTATAAGATAGCGTAAATGTGAATTTAGTGTAAATGGGAATTAAATTGTAAATGATGACACCAAAAAAATGATACAATTAAAATTGCATCAGGTTTTAGAGAAGAAATCTCCGTGCAACTTTCTGGTATTTGGTCTTGGTCACGATAGCTTGATGTGGGCGACTCTAAATCACGGAGGAAGAACCATCTTCTTAGACGAGGACGAGTCATGGATTAACCAAATCGCTCAGAAATTCCCGTCTCTGGAATCGTACCACGTCCGGTACAAGACCAAGGTAAGAGACGCAACGGCTCTCATGGCAGCGACGAGAGACAGGGAAGAATGCCGTAGCGTGTCAACTGATCTTCGGGTTTCCACGTGCGCACTTGCGTTGAAGGACTTACCGGAGGTGGTTTACGAAACAGAGTGGGATTTAATCATGGTGGATGCTCCCACGGGGTTTGATGACGAAACTCCAGGGCGGATGACAGCGATTTATACAGCGGGGATGATCGCGAGGAGGCGGAAGGATGACAGAGAGACAACGGCTGTGTTTGTGCATGATGTGAATAGGAAAGTGGAGGATGAGTTCTCAATGGAGTTTTTGTGTAGAGATTACATGACGGAGCAAGAGGGAATACTCCGTCATTTCACGGTGCCTAGCCACCGGAACTATGGTTTCTCCGGCGTTAAATTCTGTCCCTAACCCTATCCGCCGGTAGAAACAATTTATGGTTGGAAAATGCTTTTAAACTAGCAAAAATATCCGGAGCTCCATAGGCTTCAGAGATTAGTGTGATTTATCTATATATAAAAAAAGATTATGTTTTCTTATTATTATTTCATAATTGATGATATCGAAAAGGGAAAAAAAAACGACGAGTAGATTGATTTTAGACCGTTTGGTGACACAGTAGACGTTTTCAAAACGTCTCAAAAGGAAAACAGATTTGACTCAAAATCTTACAAAGACAACACCTAAGTTTTTAATTTCTTGTTGATAGTCTTCACAATCGTTAAGTGAGACTAGCCAATTCCTGAATGTTGATCGGATACGCGACAGTGCGGTCACCAGCAAACGCTTTCTTTGCCATTATGAGATTAACTTTTTCGGTAGGATGAAACGCGTCCCAAAACACATACTGGTCTCTGTTAGGACAAGGCGTTTCAAAGGGAAGACAAGTGATCTGTCCTCTGTTCTTTCCTATCCCGCAACATCCTTTGTCCATAGTAGTAAGCCCTATACAACAACACATCATTATTAGCTATATAGATATTAGTTAGAGTTGGTTTAGCTAATTAGCTAGCTTAACGTTTGTTAATTACGTACCATTAGCTGCTTGGTTAGCAACGATGTCTTCGAACATATGAGCGATGTCGAGGTAAATAAATTTAGCATCCGGGAGATTCTGGTTGAGATTAGAGATCATTGTTTTTACGTTTGTGTTGAAAGGAAGAACAAGTTGGTTCACTTCTTCAGAGCATTTACCGTCGTTTCCTTGAGCTAAAATACTAGGAATGCATCCCATTCTTCCAAGTCCGGCCACCACAAATTTCCGACCACCGAGATTATACAGTCTCTGCATTACAAAAAAATAAACAACATATTTTCATTACATTTTAGCTTCTTGTTTGTTTAGGTACTATTAAATAAGATTAGAGATCATTCTTTTGTTTTTGTTGTATTACGGTGAGCTGATTGGTGTAATGTTGAACCAAGAGATCGCCGAATTGTTGGGAGTTGTATTGGTTACGGGTTGGGAAATTGGGCATCAAGTAATTGTTGAGATAGTCGTTGCTTCCCATTCCGATGAAGAACAAGCTTCGAGTCACCGAATCTGCTATGGCGACTGCACCACCGGACTTGCTAGCCACCTGATCTAACGTTGTCTCGAAGTTATGAATCTGTTCGTCGAAAGGTATGCGTCCCACCTGACCACCAGATCATAAACTCAACGTTACATAATTCCTCGCATTTAGCCGGGCCATGCACAACCATTTTTATTGGTATAATATGTAACCAGTAACCACAATGTTGATCATGAACATAGCTCATGTGATGTGACCACCACTGAAAATATATTTTCATTATTAAAAAAAATGGAAGAATTTTGATTGATTTTGATAATTTTTATTTATGATCATTGATTTTTCTTCATTTTTAAAATAAAAATTTTAAATTTTAAATCAAATTAGAAAAACCTAGCTAGTTCATTAATGATTTTAAATAACATAAATTAATTTTTGATGTTTACTCTTGTTTATTCACAAGTTCATTATAAGAAATAGGTATACACTTCAGAATTATGTAAAATATAATTCTAAATAAAATCCAATTAGAATTATTTACATACAAACTAAAATATTGGTTGATTACTAGATACAAGTATATGACTATGCTATTCGGATAACTTACATTTCTTACAACAAAGAGTCAAAAGAAGAGTGTATATGTAACATGCAACCATTTCTTGTTAAGGATATAACATACAACTTACGAATTTTATATTTTTATTTTGAATAAAAGCAACTTACAAAGTTTCCTCCGGTGTCAGGAAGAATCCCGGCGGCTGCGGAAGCATAGTTGACACCACGTAGTACTTGATCTCCGGTAGCTTCCGAGTACGCCGGAATCAGTGGCAGCCCCAATAGTTGAGCTATATGATCAGTGCATGCATGCATCATATATAATAGTTATATCAGCCTCTCGTTCCAGATTTAGGAGGAAAGATGCTTTGAAGAGAAAACAACATATATGTTTAGACATGGAGTAAAACTTACCAATCCCATCGACCATGGTTAAACCATTGCAGAACCGACCGGTCGGACCGCCATTGAAATCTATACCATAAGGGAAATAATTGGCTTTGGCAAAGGAAGGAATGTTATTGTTATTCCCATTGTCTATCAGTGAGTCACCGAAGACAAACAGCGCCGGCACAATGCCATCACCGTTGTTTAGGTCGACCAATGGAGGCGGAGGAGCAGAAATAGGTTCATTAACCACAACTAGTTGGCCGGAGACACCATGAAGGAGATGAAGAACCACCACGAGAAGAGCTGAGAAGAAGCAAAGTCTTGGGAAGTGGAAAGCCATTGTGAAGTACTTGTTTGTGTTTTGTAAGGTGTAACTTCTAATTTTTGTAGATTAATTTTGGGGTGACGAGAAAAATAGAATTGGACAGATTTATAGACAGAGTGAAAAGGGTTTGGTGAAGAGTAATAAATGTATTTATCCGTCTTCTACCACACAGTAATAACAACCCCTGATGATAACCACAGTAAGTGAGTTGACATACATTTTCCATAGCCAAATTTTTGAGAAACATTTAAAATGGAGATAAAAAATTGTACCTACCGGAGAATTTAGCAATTAATGTATTTTGAAAATTACATATTTAAGTTGAAAGGTATGATCAGGATGACATAATTATTGATTTGGTGATAATTCCCGTATATGATGAACTAGTTGAATGAAAGAGGATTGTAAACCAGGGGGAAAAAAAAACATTGCATTTAAATCGTCGTTATTATCGAAGACGTTTAATAAGCTTTCACGGTCAAATCGTGAAGACCAATTATGTCGAAGAAGAGGGCAGAAAAAGCAACAAATAAGTCTCTTCTATTACAAATGATGGTTGTACATTTTAGCATGTCATTAAATTTAGGGTTGACTTTAATGTTTTGACTTCTCAGATTGTGTACATACTAAAAGGGTCTGAAAGTGGGACCCAATAAATGGTAGTCTTTTTTAGCCAATAAATTGTAGTCCAATCGTCTTTTGATATACAAAAAGTTTTCACAACTCTACATTTGTTTCAAATTTCATGACATGATCAGTTTTGGAATCGAATCAAAGAAACTTTAGATTTTGTGTCGAATTTCTATTTTCCATATATAGATTTGTCGACATTAGATTTTTCATCATGGATAACAATGTAAATACACTGAAAAAAAGAGGCTAGCTATGGATCCTCAATTAAACAGAAAACCAAATAATCCATAAATTCAAACCATAGATATTAACCAGAAAGAGTTTTAAGTACACACCACACTTGTAGTCATTTCATGTTCACACCAACAAATGAAAAACAAGAGGAAAAAAACATACAGATAGATTTTCAACTGCCTAGCAAAGTCCCACAGGCTTTATTTTAATTATAACAACACTATATTATACTTACCAAGGTGATTTAAATTCGTGAGACATAGTCTTCAAATACCCTATGGTCTAGAACTGAAATATTTCACTTGGCATGGTTAGCGGATAGGAATAGTTAGTCTCCATGACTGTTGCAAAGTTAGCATCTAATATGCTATTGTTGTTTTCCTCTATCTGCGTTAATTCACCAACAAAACAAATCATTAGAAAATATTTAAGCAAAGGAGTGTAAAGATCATCTGAATAGTTCGACTAGCTCAAGAAATACATTTGGATATAATTCTGCTGATAGATCTCCAACTTCATAAAATGTGCTATGATGAGAATGTTATAGTTGTACTAGTGATTTTGTTACCTTTTCGAGGAGATACTTGTTGGTGTTTTTGAGGACTCCTTCCTTTATACACAATAAAAAAAAACCGTTAAAAATGTTACATTAATTTTTTTTGATAAAATGTTACATTAATTTTAACCTTTTGTATTCGGTTCTTATAAACCAAAATGTTGCATTCATATTAATTCTTATAAAGCTGAATATTGAATGGTTTTATTTGCTTACCTTGTTCCTCAATGACTGAATTTCTTGAAGCATAACATCCATCTGCAATTTATACATAAAAACTTTTTTTTGTTAAAGTTTTACATAAAAACTTTTCTTGTTAAAGTTTTACAGAAAAACTTTTCTAGTCACTATTTTCTATTCACTTTCCCTAACATGTGCATGAAAGCATGTTTATATACCTTAGCAGAGCGAATCTGAGAAATCCAATACTCAAGATGCTTCTCAAGCAAAAGAAGTTCTTCAAGATTCATCGCCCCATCTCCTCCTCCAAACATATAGCTGAAATCCATTTTAATTACATTTACTCAATATATGTATAAATTTTAACCTCATAATAGACACCTTAGTAAAGAGATAGTATGTTAATAAATAATAATCAATATATACCTTATCCCTTTCTGAAGCATCTCAATCTCTTGCTTAAGCACGTTGATCTCATCCTTCGGATCCTAGAGATATTATAAACTTTTATTTCAATGTTTATATATATACATTATTTGTAAGCCATATCTAAAAGCGGGTGAAAAGTTTAGTGACCATGTTGGTATATACACACACACACTCTCAAAAAACATGAAATACGTATATGCATCAATAAAATAATAGTTCAAAGCGTGTCAATAACAATAGTTTAGGGCAACCTTTATAAAGTGGTCAGAGCAACTTTTATCAAAAGGTTGTGCTGATTATAAACCAATAATACAACTTCATTCCGAAACATAGTGCGATTGAATAACCAAAGATATAAATATACTATGTAAAGTGTAATATGGGTCTATAGACTATAGTTGTCTCTAAGCATCTTTTACTTTTGCAGTAGTTACTTTGACTTGTTTTGTTTCTATTTTATGATATAGTACAACGTTCCACAATAATGTCAGTTCCTCTCACTAGTCGACAAATTAAAAATTCGGAGAACTGGAGAGCTAGGTGCAATGAATGTTGTACTTCACTAACTATTTTCATGTATAGAATCGGAATCAGGTGCCCTACCTAACTTCCTGAGAATTTTAATTTCAAATCAATTAGCAACGTCCAACAGATTTTCCCTCTGCATGTCAACACGTGTTATCATGTTGCATACTAAAATAGCTTTTATGGAACAAAAAGACTAAATTACCCCGAAAGAATGAAATGGAAAGAAGTGAAAATATTTACTAGGATGCATCGAGCACCGACTAGTTTTAATCAACCCAAAAAGTTTAGTATTTTAAACAAACACATTCGACAATCAATCCCAAAAATAGATAAAAATTCGATGAAAGTAGATATTAACTAATGAGAACTTTTTACCAAAAAAAAAAAAACTAATGAGAACGAAGGAGAAAATAGACGTACAAGATTTGGTGGTTGAAGTTGTTCTTGAGCAGTAAAAGTAGCAGAAGAAGAACCACGACCACCACCAGTACACTTCATGTACTTATCAATCATTCCCTCCATTGTTCTGAATTTTTAATCAAATTTCACATATAGAATATAATATAAGTTACTCTTTAGTCACATGTAAATATATGAACACTAATATATATATATATATTAATACGTACCCTTTAGTAGCGAGCTCAAAGAGCTTGCCCTGAGGAGAGAAGATCACAACACCGATCTCGGCGTCACAGAGCACAGAGAGCTCCTTAGCCTTCTTGAGAAGACCAGTTCTCCTCTTGCAAAAAGTCACTTGTCTGTGAACCGGGTTCTCAATCCTCTTGAGCTGAATCTTTCCACGAGCCATCTCTTTCAGAATCTTTCTTTTTAACAATTGACGTTTGGGTTTGCGTCTAGATTTGGATTTGGATTTGGATTTATGAACTTAAAACGTGAAACAACCTCCCACTAGTTTGAACTAGCTTCGAGGTTCCCCACTTAACTCTTTGGTTTCTCTGTTTCTTCGGAGAAAACGATGAAGTTATAACCAAACTCATGCCACCTTCTTCTCTTTATATATAATCTCCATTATCATATTCTCCCACTCACTTCTCTGCTTCTTAAAGCACCTTTTTTTTCCACATCAGCCTCCTTTTCTCTTATATATGCGTATGTGCTCAGATACGTTATATGTTAAGTATGCATTCATATCGCAATACATGCGAAAGGTCCGTCTTTGTTTGTTATTTTAAGGGGTTTGTATTTTAGTATAATTTCCTCTAGCTTGTAGCATAATTTCCTAGGTTTATTTTTTATTGATTGATGTTACATCTGATGTGACATATGACCTGACATGCACTAATTTAACAATCTAATTTGTTACAATTTACATTCTTCACCAAAAGATGGAGGTTGGATTTGACATGTGCAAGACTGTAGCTATATTAAAAAAAAAAAATTGAGTTCCCAAATGCCATGCGATTTCCTTTTAAAAAAACAAAAAAGTCCATTAACGGGTGTGTGATTATTTCAAATGAGATCAACATAGTGAATGACCAATCATCATTGTACATTTGTACCACAAATGACACGGTATAAGTGATTTGGCAGCTGAGTGATACACAAAAACTGTGTATTCAAATAAATGTTATGCTATTCCACATATTACGAATTAGTGTTTGTCGAGTTAGACCAAAGTAACTTACAAATAAGGAAAAAAGAATTTCATGTTTTATTTTTATAAGGTTTAGTTACATAAGAGTTCAACAAAAATTGAATAAAAAATTAGTTTTGTTCTTAGTTAAACATTCATAATAGCATCTTTATTCATAACATCATTTAATTTATTTTGTCTCTTATATTTATCAATGTATAATTCCTAATACATCTCTCAAAGTTCAACAACACTCTCATATCTTATCTACTTTAACTGGATTCCAGTCTAAGATCGAATATATTTATTTGGGGTTGCTGTATTCATTAAAAATATATATATTTTCATCTTGAAATCAAATGATAATAAACAAGAAATGAAATAAAATAAGTGGGAGGTCTTTGGTCTAATAATTAACCAAAAGTTTAATGTTTTTACACTAAATCTGAAATTCGATTACCTGAAAATATAAAGCAGACTAATAGAAAAAAGTTTACAAAGATTTTTCATTTCGGTATAGAACTATTGTTGATCATTATTATATTTGTTTATGTTAAAAATCCATGGTGAGCTATTAATTTATTTTGTATTGAATTATACATTTCTCACATTTAACGACGTGGAATTTTTAACCCATTGTAACCACTAAAGAACAATTAAGTGATGGTCATTAAGCATACTTAGCCAATATCAAAGAGGGTATCATGTGCATCTCCTCGTGGTGGAGAACCAATGACCTGCCCATGTTAGGTGCCAATGCAGCCTTTTTTTTGTTATGTGTATTTATTTATTGATTTCACTTTCTTTTTTTGTTAATTGATTAAGTAGGTCGTTTTTTCCTTTCTAAATGTTTTTTGACCATCTTGCTTTGCCCTTGGTCTACATAACAAACTCCTGAATCTTATTCTTCTTCAACAGTACGT